GGAATCCGCAAGATTAACGAATGCGGTTTTCTTTGGTAAGGAGAAAGATGATTACAATTTGCAAGAACCTGTAGTCATAATGGCGGATTTTAGCGCAGCAGGAGACCAGTCCGGGTGTAAAGCTTTGAGAAGTGCGACAATTGACGCAACAACGGGAGTGGAATAAGATGTTCCTTGACCAATCTCAAATTTATTGCGATAGGGCGAGATACCAGGGACAGCTCCGAGAATCATCATACCAGGGGCTACTATATCAGGCTGCATCATTTATTTATTCCGTCATTAACTCTGGAAACAAGAGCAAGATTTTGAAATGTTGTTTAGATAAAAGAACCTTGAGAATGGATGGAGACTGGGAGCTAGGCCCTCTAGATGAGAATCCCGAAACTGTAGTCGGTAGAGGACGCCCCACGACCGTTTTAGCAGTAGTTATTTTAACCGTGGGTGAACTGGAGCCATAAGAAAATGATCAGGTTTACATACTAGGTCACTCTGGATTGATCAATAGCAAAAGGAGAAATACCTTGACGAATGCATATATTGTAGAATCTTAGATCCGACCTCATAGTCTACGAAGACGACTTGGGTTCCGTACATATCTTCAGGTATATTATCAGAACTTCGTGCAATGATCACCGCTGAGGCTTGGGCGATATCTATTGACATCGCAGCTTCCCTCGAGTCCTGATCATCTTCCACAAATGCTAGGCCAACTTTTCCGTCGACGCTAGAAGGGATCTTTCTCCAGTCTTCGACGCAAACTAAATCACCAGATATTTCCTCAGCTGTATAATAAGATTGACCCTGAAACACAGTTTTACGGAAAAAGAGTAAGCAAGTTTCCGATACTATTGAAAACCGGTTAACAGAAAAGGAAAAAACATTTTACATACCGATATGGTTATGTTATTTCCAAATGTCAAGTCTACATGAAAGCTACGGTCCAAGCTTGTTGCACCAACTGTGAGAAGCCACGGAGCAACATTACTCACAGTGTAAGCGTCAGGGCCTGCATTACCAGCACCAGTTATAACCGGAATGCCCTTTGTCACCGCATGGAACGCTCCAATCTCGAGATCTTCCGTAATAGCGGTATATGGACGGAGAGGCATCGACGTTGAGCTCAATGAAACCGACAATACGTCAACGCCATCTTTTATGGCCTCATCAAATGCCTTCATCACACTCGCAACGATTCCACCAAACTCTTTGTGAAAAACAACCTTGTACATAGCTATACGAGCCTTTGGAGCACCGCCTCTCAGGACTCCATGGGCAAGACCTCCTATATATGACGCATTAGGCACGAATGAAGAGGCTGCAATTGAAGAAGTCATCGTTCCGTGTAATCCACCATCTCTAGCGGAAATAAACTCATTTCTACCGAGTTTGACCCCAGGATTGCTCTCCTTCCAGCCCTCATAGAAGTACTTTGCTCCAACCAACTTCTTGTTGCAATGCTTTGCTGGGTCAAAAGCCTGTCCGGCTACACATTCCCCCTTCCAGTGTTTCGGTATCGGTCCAAGCCCTTTGTCGTTATAAGCCTCAGACTCCGGCCATATTCCTGTGTCAAGAAAACCAATGACAATATCACTTCCCATGTCGCTGTCATGAAGAATTCCTTTGGGCAAACTCGGCGAAAGACCCAAATAGTCGTAAACCCTCGTGCCCTGCAACTCAACATTTCGATTTTGTGAGACCTGGAAAACATCAGGACGGTCTGTATATGACATGAAACAAAAGCCATCGTCAGAAGATGTGCACAAAAGCTTTTGCCTCATTTAAAATCAAAACACAAACCTGAAAGTTTCTTAGCTTGTGAGTCTGTAAGCTTGGCTGCAAACCCGGAAAATCCATGGTGATAGTTGTAGATGATGGACTCTCGAGCAGCTTCCGGACTTCATCAAATTCAAAATCATTAGCTTCAAAACAATAAGACATGTTCAGAAAAGCGAAAACAACAAAGTCACAGTTTTTTTTTTTAATATACCTTTCGAAAACCGATTCCAACATCCTGTGGTGTGATTCAGCGACCACGTCAGGATCATCGTGTTGCCTCTCGCCTAAATACACTATATAAACCTATCTCAAACATC